CTACCTTACAGGGAAATCATTCTTCACTTGCATTACTCCAGCTTATTTTTTTTGGATAGGCCTAACACTTGTGTGTTTTTTTGTTTTTTTTTTTATCTTTTACACAAAATATTGAAGTTGTGCATTTTGAAACCGATTAAAGAATTCAAGAATTCTTTTTTTATCTGGCCATAACTTCCCATCTTTTTTTATAATCTGGAACAGTAATGGAAAATATTCTAGAATAAATGGGTAGGATTTTCCTTCTTTCTCTGGTTGTCTCTTTTGACAAGAGAAGTTAATACTGTGGATGAGTCCCAGGAATATACAGACAAGGCACACAGATGTGAACAAAAGGTATACAGTGCATTAAGATTCCACATGCGATAAATTAATATCTGCATGGCTGACATAAAGGGAGAGGTGAAGATTTAGGAAGGACTGGCCCACCATGAAAAAGGCTGGTTTCAAGGTACTTCAGGGCTGAGCAGTGCTTGCGTGTCATGACATGTTTGCCGATCAGTTCAGGGAGAATGCCCGCTCACTGCCACAGGATAAAGGAAACAAGGCGGGTATGACATCACAGAAATAGCAACAAAACCTAAATTAAAAAAGGGAAGTATGAGGGCTTAAAGTTGAATTGTAGGATTCATCCACTTTGTAAGAAGTGCATGCACTCTGATTAAATCCGAGGAGGTGTGTGACCTGTCCTGAACTTATCACTATATCTGACAGGTTTATGGCTTTGGAGCTGTGAGAGAGGAGAGAGAGGCACACAGAGCAGTTATGCCTGCCCCTCTCCTCTGCTGCCTATTCAGAGAAGCCTTTGTGAATGAGTTCACATAATACAAAGGCTCTATGATTGGGCAGGCTCCGACTGGCCGAATTTTGATCCATGTATGCGCACCCTGGTTGTGTACAAGTTGATCTATTTAATACTGTACATCCAGCCTGTTGGGTTTTTCCCGAACGATTATTACTGCACCCGGCAACACTAGTCCATTGTGTTCTTTTTATTTAGCAGCTGGCAATGCTAATTGATTTTAATTTAGCATATCTGGAACTAAGGCAGCCGATACAGCCCAGCAGGTTGAACAAAAGAAAATGCTTAGATTCCCCCAGCTACACATTTAATGTGGATGGAGGACTCCCTCCTTCTGTGGTATTGTTTTCTGATAGTGGGAAGTCTTCTTGACCATCAGAATACAGTGATCAGTGTACCCAGCTATAGCTGGCAGCACTGAATGTTCAGGAAAAAAACGACAGACAAGTTGATTGATAGATTGACGTGTGTACAACCACTTTGCCCATACATGAATTGACATTCGGCTGGTCACTGCTGAACTGGACAAATTTCAATGCTTAGTTTCCCCCATCTACACATTCAATGTGGATGGAGGACTCCCTCCTGCTGTGGTATTGTTTTCTGACAGTGGGGAGCCTTCTTGACCATCAGAATACAGTGATCAGTGTTGCCAGCTATATCTGGCAGCACTGATTGTTCAGGAAAAAACTGACAGACAAGTTGATCGATAGATTGACTTGTGTACAACCACTTTGCCCATACATGGATTGACATTTGGCTGCTCCCTGCTGAACTGGACAAATTTCAATCCATGTATGGCTGACATAACTGAATACTCCCTAACATTCATATTATTATATCTTTGGGAACAGATAGAAAGGGCGATAGATTACATACATGTACTTATCAGGTTAACTAAAATATATTTACATCTGTCAATGGGGATTTCCCATAAACCTCATATTGTAACAGGTATAATGCTGTTATAGTAAACTGTGGCTATCTTTTTATTCACCATTGATCAGGATATTCTCTGAAGAACTTAAGCTGGCCATAGATGGATTGAAATTTGGCTGGTTTAACAGGGGCTGACAAAATTTCAAGCCATCTATGGCCATGCACATTCGAGAGGAGTCGACCTAGTGATCAGCTCATCTCAAATGGGACTGTTGGGAAAATTTGTGTTTGATTAGCGCATGCAACCAAACGGTTGCAGTACTGATCAGTGTCTTCTGGCAGTGGAGGAGTCCCATTATCAGAATACAGTAGCACCGTGGGGATTATTCCTTCAGCCACCTCAAATGTGTGGATGGGAGAATCCGTTCTGTTTTAAAAAAAAAAAAAAAAAAGAAATGAATCTATGACCAATCTTAAAAACATACCAAGAAGGTGTATATAATTTCTGTATTCTTTCATTGTAGGTGTTTTTTAAAGAAGAAATCTTTTTAAATATACTGGAGACCTCATCAAGTTCATTTGAGCACAAGTGGATGGTGATCCAAACATTGACCAGGATCTGCGCAGGTATCTCAAGGCTTACATCAGCTATCAGATTGTGACTGTTTTCACCCTCACATCTAGATCATGAAGAATCTATTGGTGTCTCGTGACATCATCAGAGCTAACAGTGGCCTCAGTGTTTTTGAAATTTTCAGGGCCCTCTGTGATTTTATCCCTACATCCAGACATGAAGGAACCAGTGGTGTCTCGTGTAAAATCATCATAACTAACAGGGATTTTCATGTTTTTAGAATTGTGTTACAGCAGACATCTGGCTTAAAGTCCCGGCCTCCAGGAATTAGTACACTCGGCTATACCTTAAAGCGGAACTTTACCTATAACTTGTTAAAAAAAATGTTTGTTCGCAAGAAATGTATTTTCTGTATTAATGATTATGCCACTATAATTAGTGTGTGCTGTACATTGCCTCCAACATTTTTCCTGTTACTTGCTGGAGGCTGCCATTTTGCTGAAGCCCAGAGCCCCTGAACAGTGGTAAATCATAAAGCGGAACTAAACCCATTGATTTATCGGTTTCAAATAACGGTTACATTCCTGGAATGCAGAGACTGCTAACTGTCACATTTGCTTCTGTCTTTTCTGCAGGGGCAAGAGCACATAGGGGAAACAAGACGTGAGCAGGAAGGGAGGATGATCGGTTTGGCAAAGTGGGGAGAATACCAGAATGATGCTCTGTATGGCTATCCTTCCAGCAGCTGAAAGCCGGGGGGGGAGAGGAAGATAAGCCGGATTTCAGCTGCTGGAAGGATAGATACACAGAGCATCATTCTGGTATTCTCCCCACTCTGCCACACCGATCATCCTCCTTGTTCTGCCTGCATCTAGTTCCCCCTGTGTGCTCGGGCCTCTGACAAGAGTACCGGTGGTACTCCCCTGTCGGCGGCCCTGTACATAGCTATACCTGTAGGAGGGGCCATCTTGAAGTTATCTAGCAGGACCAAGGGCGGACTGACAAATCATGGGGCCCCCGGGCAATAGGGGATCATAGGGCCCGTGTCCTCGCCCACACTCAAACTACACCCAAAAAAGCCTATGAAAGGTACCAGGGGCATCTCATGGGGCCCCCTACTGACCCCAGGCCCTCGGGCAGTGCCCGAGCGCTCGAATGGTCAGTCCTCCCCTGAGCAGGACTTAATTTTCTAACCTTCCACTTGTGTGCTGCTCCACTCCGCATGAGGCAGTTAGGTTGCTTGTGCTAGAGGGTTGAGCAGTTTAGTTGTTTTTTTTTTCTAGCAGTGTCATGCTGGGTCCCCAAAACTCAGGGATTTAAAGCATTAGTCACATCATCCAAACGAATAGCTAGTGGAATGCGTCCAACTTCCTCTTTAAGTTCTAAATTAGGCAGTTAAATTCTGATGGATTCTGGTTTTTATACTATCACTTATTTTAAGTACTATCTTTTTGTTTATGATTCTCCTGCATGGTGGTGGGCTGTCAGCTTTGTTACCAGCTTATCCTATATCATGGCCTTTCTGAGAGTCTGAGCAGCTGCCAGGGAGCAAATGCACCTTATTTTTACTAGAACTGTAATCTGACCTTTCGCTCATCAATCCGCACTCTGGCCAGGAGTGACTTTTACAGTTTTAAATCATCTCATGCTGCTCGACAGACAGAGCTCGAGACAGAGCCAGCCAGGTCAGTTTGGAGGCTGCTGGTACCAACAACCTGTACCCACACTGTAATTTATCTTGCATTTCATTATAGTTCAATTTAAAGTAAAATGAAAGCCAAACATTTTTTTTCTTCATTTTGGATAGAGTAAGGGTGGGTTTTAAATTCTGTTTCTCAGGGAGATTTCCCTTCACTTGCTGTCTAATAGCACTGTAGGAAGGCAGAGGAAATTCCTCTAAAGCAAGGGAATCCATTTGATGATCTCCCCTTTCTTCTTTTGATGACAACTCAAAATTTGGGATTTTCTTTCACTTGGTGATAATGGTAGACAGGACAAATAAAGAGGGTGAATCTCCAAAAAGGGGCACAGACAGCAATAAAAACAGGTGTTGTAATCCCACTATAAGTTTATAACTTAAAGGATAAGTTTACCTTTAAAAAAAGAAAAATTACTTTTTTTTTTCAGGTGAAAAAAAAAAAGTGCAATAATTTTATTTAGCAGATCACGGTGCAATCTCAGGCTCCTGCAGACTGTCAGTGTAGTTGTCTGCTCGTATCTTGTTCGGACAGGCAGTTACACAATGAGAGGACTACTTAATGAACTACCAGAGCGCTAGTGAGCTACGAGCACTATGAGCCGTCAGCTGCAAAGGTTGTTAGTTGTAGTTCATTCATTCACAAATTTCTGTGAAAGAATGACTGTGTGGGTCCTGTAACGGTGCATGCAGGGAGAAGTTCCCCGGCCCGTTGGCACAATGTGGAGGTGGAATCGGTGAGACCGTATGGGTCCTTTCAAATTGTGACATTTGGTGCAGGGAGAAGATCACTGGCCTGCTGTCACAATGTGGGAGGGGGATTGGTGAGAGGCTGCAGGGGTGGGAACATGTTACATGTTCCACCCTAAAAACATGTGGAACAGGTAACATTTTGCTAAAAGTAAATTTATCCTTTTAAAAAAAAAAGTTTTGCTTTTAGTTATACTTTAAAGAGTTACTAAACCCAGGACCCTCTGGTAACTGTTCCATTTTTGTTCATTGTCCTGACAATAAAAGTTGTTAAGATTTAAAAAAAAAAAACAAAAACCCAGGACCCTGCATTCACTATATCTGGTCTCCCCGGACCCTGCATTCACTATTTCCGGTCTCCCTGTACTCTGCATTCACTATACCCGGTCTCCCCGGACCCTGCATTCACTATATCTGGTCTCCCCGGACTCTGCATTCACTATATCTGGTCTCCCCGGACTCTGCATTCACTATATCTGGTCTCCCCGGACTCTGCATTCACTATTTCCGGTCTCCCCGGACCCTGCATTTGCTATATCTGGTCTCCCCCGGACCCTGCATTCACTATATCTGGTCTCCCCGGACCTTGCATTCACTATACCCGGTCTCCCCGGACCCTGCATTCACTATACCCGCTCTCCCCGGACCCTGCATTCGCTTTATCTGGTCTCCCCAGGACCCTGCATTCACTATATCCGGTCTCCCCGGACCCTGCATTCACTATATCCGGTCTCCCCGGACCCTGCATTCACTATATCCGGTCTCCCCGGACCCTGCATTCACTATATCCGGTCTCCCCGGACCCTGCATTCACTATATCCGGTCTCCCCCGGACCCTGCATTCACTCTATCTGGTCTCCCACAGTACACAGAACATGGAAATGCAATTATTTGAGTAAATATAAACTGCTAAATACATTTTCTCATAAGCAGTTAGAGCAGTCTTGTGACTTCTATCAGTGTCTAGCCAAGCACACGTTAAAGCTTGTAGGAGGAGCTTTCATTCTCCCCTCACTGCCCTATGAGAATGCATAACCCCTGACCCACTGTCTGAACAGTACTGATTGGCCCAGTGCTGATCACATGTACTCTCCCAAGAAAAAACTCTCTAGCAGTACACATCAAACTGAGCATGTGCAGAGTGTCCCCGAATAGTCTTAGAATGGGGGTGGGAGTAGATTTATCCTTCGTTAGAATTTGACTGAACGTTCACTTTAATACAGTTTATAAATGGTATATGATTTGGATTTTTTTTTTTTTTATAGTTTTGTAGATGTATACTAGCTAAATCCTTTGTGTGTGTAATACACGCGCACACACCTATATATATACACACACACACCTATATATATATACACACACACCTATATATATACACACACACACCTATATATATATACACACACACACCTATATATATATACACACACACACACACTAAACTCCCCATGTATGCTTTTCCTTCTGTCTCAGATGCCCAGTGTGTGGTGGACATCTATGTGAACTATGACTGTGACCTCAATGCTGCTAATATCTTTGAACGACTTGTGAATGACTTGTCCAAAATTGCTCAGGGAAGAAGTGGCCATGAGCTGGGGATGAGCCCCCTGCAGGTAAGGTTGGAGTGGGCAGTAGAGGACACTGCTGTCTGGATGGCTTATCACCTGGTCCTAATGTCACCCTTGTGTGTCCCCTTCAGGAGATCAGCCTGAGGAAGAAAGGTCTGGAGTGTCTGGTCTCCATATTAAAGTGCATGGTGGAATGGAGCAAAGATCTTTACATCAACCCCAACCACCAATCCAACCTTGGTAAGCTGTCCATTCCTGGTGCCTTGTTTTATATCGACAACCAGGCGCATCATAGCTGCGGTGCGTTTAGAAACACTTATCATGCAGTGTTCTCTGCATCCAGTGAAAAGCTATGCAGGCCTTCTCACATCTATGAAATTCTGGTAAATCCTCATGATTTTGCCGCTGAGGCACTTGTACAAAAACTTACCAGGTAGTCTCATCCCATCTGTAAGTATATGTTAAGCGATTTTACCTTCCCGCTGAACCCAGTTTTCCATTCAATTCAGTCTTGCACAGTTGTACCTGCTCCTCTTCCAAACTGAAATTGCTTACTCATATTTCAGTGCACACTGTGAGCCTTTCACAATGTGCATTAGAAACTGCAGCCATTCAGACAGAACCTGCCTCATTTCCCCCGCCTTATTGTCCTGTCCCCAGCCTGCCCCTTCATTCATTCATTCATTCATTCAGTTCTGTCAACCAAGAAGGCTCAGCTGCATATGTGAGCATTATGTAGGTTGATCTGCATGCGGATGTAGCTGGTCTAGGAGAGCCTACTCTTCCAGACTAATATCCATCTGTCACGGTATTTGATATTTGCATACTGAGGCCGGGTGCTAGGATGTTTTTAATAAGGTGTCAGCATCCTGCAGGCCTTTCACACATGCATGATCTGTCCCAATTGCATAGAGAAGTTAAAGAGATCGAAAGGTTTTAATTAAAATGGGGAAAAAGGCAAAATATAAGCAGATCAAACATCAGCTTTTAACCACCTGCCGACCGCTCACAGTAAATGTACTGCAAGCAGGCGACAGGTACAGGCACGATCATGTACACGTATGTAATCGGCCTTCTGCTGGGTTTGGGGCGCATTTGTGCACCCCCCTGCCAACCCATGCTGTGATTGGACACATCATGAGTTTGGCAGTTGCTTTCAGCCAATGATTTTGGGCTGAAAGCGGCTTATCCACTGTATCCAATCACACACACAGAGTTCTTTGTTTACAAACACGCAGAACCCTGTGTACTATGAACAGCATTCTGGCAGTTTCTTCTCCCTTCAAAGCAGGAAGAAAAAAAACAGCCAGTAAAGTAAAAGCAGCACATATTACACATTGTTACGCATTTAATCCCTTGTTTGCCCCTAGATGTTAACTCCTTACCAGCCAGTGTCAGTGTACAGTACTCTATCTGATCACCGTATTGGTGTCACTAGCGACAGAGATAGTGATCCTCCCAGATAGTGTCTGTTAGCGCCAGATTGCCTGCCACCCTATCACAGTTTGACTATAAGTCGCTGATCTCCACCATTACCAGTATTGCGTCATAGCTGTGTAAATTTTCTCTGACTTGCAGACTTTTTAAACAATGTTTTGCAGTATATTATGGCCTTACTTTTTTTTTTTTTTTTTCCAATTCTTCAATAGCTTTCTCACTACTAGCGTACTGAAGAGTAGGAGACTGTGAATGGCCCTGAGCAGAGAGTCTGACACACATACAAAAACACACCACACACACAGTGATTCCAGACAAAGACTGACCTACAATCTCTTGAATTCTTCAGGTACAGAGAAATCCTGCGATCCTGAGACCACTGAAAATAAAACGCCGGAAATATTAGGCCGTAGAAGCAGTGCCAGCTCAGTGGATTCCTCTTCATGGATTGGCAGCACCGGTGCTCAGACCTCCATCGCCGATGATCCGGAACAGTATGAAGTTATCAAACAGCAGAAGGAAATCATTGAGCATGGCATTGAACTGTGAGTAGAAATTTCTAGACTTCAATTTTTATTCAAAATCTGGAGCATTGCTGCTGGCCTGTGCAGTGGTAACCGATTACGATTGTTGCGCGGAATATTAGAACACTGTTGGCCTTTTCCTAAAATAGCAGAGGCAGTAAGACATTTCATTCTACAGGGAGAAGGTAACCAAAAAGAGTTCAGGGAGAGTTCCTCCAGGATTAGATTGCATACACACATGTTCATTTTGTATATTTGTCCTGCCTCTCCAATCTAAGCATTGTAAGTGTGATCTCTGTAACTTACAGTTGTGATGAGATAGCGATAACTCCAATCTTAGTTGAATAACACAGGCAGTGACTCGATCCAGATGACACCTTGTAGATCTTGTGAAGTTTATTCCATAAACTGAAAGAATCTTACAATGAACATCGGATAGGTCAAAAGATCATAATGTGATCTGCTTCCATAAAACATGAGGCTAGAAGATGAAATGCATTACTGGGAAAGGGGGAGGGCTATCTATACAGCAAGAACTAAACCAAAGGAAAGGGTTGAGCAGAGACAAAATACAAAGAACACTTAAAGGCATATGACAGTCATGTGATACATGACAATATTTTTCACTTTGCTAACATTCAGATAAAATTGCCAGATAACACTGTATATTGGGCTGTTCACATTCCTTTATGATTTTCATCTTTCCTTTTTAAGGTTTAATCGGAAGCCAAAAAGAGGGATTCAGTATCTGCAGGAGCAGGGAATGCTGGGAAATACACCCCAAGACATTGCTCAATTTTTGCACCAAGAGGACCGGCTGGACTTTGTAAGTGCCTGCTATTCCTGACCACTATTGCCAGAGCCGCTTTCTTTGGTGTAGCGTGACTTTTGTACACCAAACAAAGCACTTGGGAAGTGAATGTGGAAAGCGTTTTACACTGGGACTTTAAGTATTTGCACACAAGTACATTGCATATATGTTTATCAATATATACCATTTTATTGAAACTTATCCATGATTGTTGTATTATTTGCACCATTATTTGCACATTATTTTCTCTATCATAGCACAGTATGATTTTATGTATGCACGGTATATAGAAATGTATACTTCCCCCTAATCATAGGGACGCACAGAGGCCCTGTGGAGGAAGGGGGCATAGAAGACGTAGTATGTTTATATGGTAACAGTCAGGTATCTATTTATTTGTGGGTCACAATCACGACTTAAGTGTGGCACAGATAGCTATAAAAAAAAAAAAAAATCACAAGTAGCAGCGCAGCATTTATATACATTCTTATTCACATATTTGTGGTACTGCTAGCCAGCTCAATTAACACACTACCTCCAGTCCACTGCGCAGGTTTTGTTTGCATACATGGTACAGCAGGCACATATCAGGAATATGAAGCCTTGGGTTTACATTTCTTTAACATCTGTGTGCTATATGTGGGATCATTAATGCTGGAGTATGTTCCTGACTCTAGTTGGAACTGAAGTAGCAGCTTGGATAACCTACAAAACATCTTCAATATTACAAAACAAAGTTCAACTTTGTCTGAGTTTCTAACTACTCCTAGCCTTATCAGCATCTGATTTGCTCAATCACCAATTCACTGGTAGGTTTATCACTTCTCAGAATTTTAAAGTGGAACTACACTGTATCTGAGCAACACAAATTGAAAATGCTGTTTCATTAATTTTTAATTTTCAAAGCAAACTCTCCCATCCTTTTTGTTGCTAAGAAATCACTTTTGAAAAACACCCCCTAGCATTTCTGGCCACAGCTATCTTCAGTAAGGGCAGATGATTCATGTAGCATCTACTGCTTGGGATCCATCTGCCCTTACCTTAGGCATGTAGGAAGGAGGGCGTGCTTAGCTGAGAAAACCCCTTCTCACCTCCTGAAGACTCCTGGGATGTATGACATCATTGCCTAGACTTGGAAACCAGAGAGTAACTGAAGAAATGTAAAAAAAAAAAAAAAGTAAAATATGATATGCCTTCCTATCTATTTACTAGTGTAACAACGTAAGGATTAAAAATCGTCAATGTTGATTAAGATAGTGAGGTTCCACTTTAGGATATGTAAAAAGACATGATTTAGCTCTTGGAGATTGGTTAAAGATCATTGGGGATTTATGGGAAGAAATTTACAAAACAATAGCTGTGGTGTGCAATAAAGTAAATGGCACACTCTTAAAGAGGACCTGGACTGTGGAAGCTGTTAAAAAAAAAGAAAAGAAAAAGGCAAGCAGGTGACAGACTGGTCACCAACGATATAGCCTGTGGTCTCCCTGCTGCTAATCTTTTCCTC